CAACAATAAAAAAATCGGGTCACAGGGATACTCAGCCATGACATCTAGGGTTAACAGTATGGCAGCACAGTAAATATAATCCACAGTTAAAGCAACTGAAGTAAATGTCAAAAAAATGCATCTGATAACTTTTTTAGACTTTGTATTCAATGTTGCTTTTTAAACCTAAAAATAAGTTTAAATGATTTCAAATAAAAAAATATAAAAACCATAAACATTGTAATGCCATATTTATGACTTGTTGATCTTGTCTGGATCATTTTGGGGTCACAAAAAATATGCCAGTGTTTAAATGGGGTCATGTTAAAGAAAAGGTTGGGAAGTCCTGCACTAAAAGATAATTTACAAGCATGCAGATATAGTATTATGCATGTATGGAAAGAGGGAAAATAAGGGTGGAGAACCACTTTAATTCCAGTATTTTCTAACTGTTAAGAGTAGACATTGAAAATAGCTGTATACTCTAAGAAAGTCTGAATACTTAACAGTGTGGCAAACGGGTATGTAACAGTAATGCAATTTAAGACTTATCAAATCACCTCTCAGTCTCCTGTTCTCCAGAATAAATAACTAAAGTTTTTTTCAGCCTTTCCTCAGAAGTCATGTTTCCCAGACCTGTAATCAGTTTTATCAAACTTCATTGGACTGTTTCTAAGTTGTCTACATCTTTCTCAAAGGGATAGGCCCAAAACTGGGCACAGTACTCCAGTGCTGAATAAAATAGGAGAATCTCTTCCCTTGATTAGCAAATGGCATTCTTATTAGTACAGTGCAGCATGCTATTGGCAAGTAAAGCACTCCGTTGGTTCACATTCCACTTATGGTTCACTGTAACCCCAGGTCCTTTTCTGCAATACTGAAGCCTAGTGAGTTGTCCCTAGTCTGTATTTGTGTATGCAACTGTTTTGTCCTAAGTGCAGGCGTTTGCGCCTATGCTATTTGAATTTCATTTGATCAATTTTAGACCATTTAGACTCATGTCATTGTGGATTCTAGCCCTATCTTCTACAGTGCTCGTAATTCCACCTAACTTAGCATCACCTAGATATTTGCTAAGTGTGCATTCAGTGTTGTTGCCCAAATTAATGAAGATATTAAGCACTATTGGGCCCAGGACAGACTCTTGAGGAATCCCACTTGATACCTCCTCCAAACTAGACATATCAAGCCACTGGTGACTATTCATTGTGTACAATGCTCCAGTTATGTATCCACCTTACAGTACTTCATATTACTTTAGCTTGCTATTGAAAATGTCACAAGAGACGGTGTCAAATACCTTGCTAAAACTGGGGTATATCACATCTACTGCTCTTCCCTTATCCACTGGGCCAGTCACCTTGTCATAGAAGCCAATCAAGTTGATCAGGCATGACTTGCTCTTGATTAATCCATTTATTGTTAAATGAATTGGTTGTTCCTGACTACCTTTTTCTCTTCCAGGTACTTAGAAATATATTCCCTGATGACCTATTCCATAATCTTTCCAGGTATTGATGTCAAACTGACTGGTCTTCTAATTCCTTTGATACTCCTTCCTCCCTTTCTTAAAGATGGGCACTATATTACTCTTGTTCCAGTCATCTGGGACCTCACTTTACCACCACAAGTTCTCAAAGATGATGGCCAATGGTAATAAGACAATTAGACAATTCCTTTGATACTTTAGGATGTACCCCATCTGTCTCTGCTAAGCTGAAAACATTCTGCTTTTTTAAGTATCCCTAACTTGTTCTTCCATTACTTTAGACTGCCTATCTCCTCCCCAGTCCTTGCTTGCATACTGCATTGGTCATCTTGTAGCTGAATTTATTTGGGAAGACCGAAGTAAAAAATGGCATTAAATACTTCCAGCTTCTCTACATCATCTATTACTAGATTGCTTTCTAGCTCCTGTAAGGAATGCTTGACCTTCCTCTTATTTCTGACATACTTGTAGAGTACTTTTTTGTTGCGTTTTATGTCCCTTACTAGTTGCATTTCAAATTGTGCCTTGCCCTTCCTGATTTTCATCCTGTATGCCTGTGCAGTACCCTTGGTCATAGTAATATGACCAAATTGTCACTTTTCATAAGATTTTTTTTTTTAATTTCAACTCATTGAAAAGTTCACTGTTTAGCCAAGTTGGGTTCCTGTTACACTTCCCATTTTCTCATCACATAGGGATACCCTGCTTTTGCACCCTTAATATGGCTTTCTTAAGGTGGAACCAACTCCCTGAACTCCTTTCACCTCCTCAGAATTGCCTCCCAGGAGATGTTTCCCACCAGTTTCCTGAGTTTAATAAGCTCTGCTTTTGTGTAGTTCAGTGTCTTCATTCTGGTGTTCACCTTCCTTTCCTTAGGATCTTGAACTCTAGCATTTCATGGTCACTATCACCCAAGATACCTTTCACCTTAAGGTTCTCAATCAATTCCTTCCTGGTTGCAAGCAGCAAATCAAGGACAACTTCCCTCCCTTCTGGTGGCCTCTCCACCAGTCTCCACCACCTCTGGATGTACTGTTTTTGATTCTAAGCATAACTGCATCCTGGAACTGAGAAATGTTCCTAACAAAACTTCTTTTGAAACTGTCATATTTCTGCAAAAAAAGTTGGTTGGATTAAATATATTTAGTTCAAAAATTCCCAAATAGCTATAAATGTGAAAAAAACTTGATTCAAATGTTCAAGCTGAAGTAGAAGTCCTACTGGTCTGAGCCTGCAGACTATCTGTAACCAGGGGTAGTCAGGAATTTTTTAACAAAATATTGTGTGTCAGAAAATGCCAGCTTATCAAAACCTAAAAATCTTTTCAGCAGAATTGTGTTGGCTTTGACAACACTTTTGTCAGCACGGATTTTCAGATCCAGGATGGAATGCTGTCCAAAATAAGACAGTAAGTGACCTGTGAACTTCTGCTAATGCCAGTAATCAGGGCCTTCACTGGAAATTAAGATAAACCAGATTTAAACAACTGTTATGCTTGACTGAGATTAGAACCTGGGGCTCCCACATACTGGATGACTGCAGTAGACACTAGACATTTCATGAATGGACTTCTCTCCCTCTTTCTGTTTAATTTTTTTTTCAACATATTGGAAGATTTGTGTTTCACTTGGATAAGGAAATAAAACAAATGTTGAAAAAAAGTTTTCATGGATCAAGATTTCTGTGCAGTCAAGGCCAGATGAGTATGCATATTTTGAACTCTTTGCACAATCTACCGAGCATGGCTTCTCTCTCTAGAGTTTCTAGTGGGCAGTTAGAAAAAGTACTACTCTGCCAATTTCTCTCCTACAGGTGCTTATGAAGTACAGCATGAGGCAGAATTACTGGAAATGTTGGAATAGGCAGAACAATAAATAAGTATATTGTTAAAAGCATTATTAAACATCATAATGCATATGCAGAAGCAAATCATGGTGTGCATATTAAGGTGGCACAGGCAATCTTACCTCTAGCATTTCCTAAATTTTGGAGTGCTTAAATTTGCACCTTAATGTTCTTTTAAATATAGTTACGTGTTATATTTATAGTTATCCATACATATATAAATATAGCTTTACATAATGTATGTATGCTGTCCTGGAGCTGCCTCCATTAGTGTTAACTATTGGTAATGACAAGAGTGAACATCAGACAGAAATCTGCTCACCTCCCATATACACATATCCCACTGATTCTGATGGCAGATGTGTAGAAACATTTGGCAATAGGTAAATTATAAACTTTTCTGTTCAAATTGAACATGGATTAGAAAAGAATATTCCATTAAAAATTGATTCTTGCACCCCTGTGTAAAATTTGGAGAGACATTTTTAGTCATATCTTCCTATGATTCTAAGCAGGAAGAAGTATTGTTCTTTGGCCAATAGACCTGGCTTTGAAAAGATCATTAAACCATAGTCTACAAGGATTCCATATCTTTTTTTATATTTTTCCATTCACGAGGGATCAGGTCTGAGCTGCTATAAACCACCATTACTCCACTGAAACCAAAGGAGCTATGTCACTTTACACTGGTCACATGTTAAAGTAAAGAACCTTACTGAAGTCATGTGAGGCCCGAAATTTATCATAACGGTGAATGGAGCACCCAGTGATCACATCTTTTTTGTTTCTTTTTCTCTCCACCCTTGAAAGAAAAGTATTAGACTGCTATTTTCTCTCTAACCTAAGATACATCTCTTTTCTAATCCTCTCTATGCTGCTGATACATCTCTGACACCTTTTTCTCCCTTCTCTCTATTCTCACTAGCCTACATTTTTCCCTTCTTCCCAGGTAGTACTCTTATGATGCCAAAACCCACTTTCAGAGGATCAAACTGTTTTCAAGACAGCTGCTCTCTAGGTAGCAGAGAATAAAAGCAGTCCCACTGTGATATCTGAGGCTAGAAAAAGAACTTATGCCTTTGTTTTCCTTCCCTAAATGCATATGAGTAATGGCAACAGAGAATGAAAACAGCTGGGTCAAGTTCCTATGCTCGATCTTAGCTGATGTGTGGTAGGACCTTCAGTTTATCATTTTCAATAGGAGCTGTGCTTGGACCAGCTCCAAATTAAACTTTTTTAAATACAGAGTTACAGAACGCTAGTTCCTATTAACAGGTGGTTTTCATACTACATCTAAAGTTTAATTCAAGGCTGATCCAAGCACAATGCATAGAGAGGGTAGACACACATTTTGTTTCCACTAAAACTAGTTATAATTTTAGCTCTCTTTTCAACACATGGCTAGAAACTTTTAAAGTGAAGAATAATCTGTAACAAGTTCTATTGTAATATGAGTTAACAACATGAATATGAATTCATTTTGGTTAAAACACCTGAAACTTTTGGGATATGTGAATATTTTTGGAAGTGTAAATTTTGTTCAAATAGCAACTCCTAGTCAAATGAACTAAACTGGGCACTATTACGTACAAACCAGGTTCTCTTATAAGAGTTTGACTAGCATTCTTATAAGGCTAAGAAGCTCACATATACTTCTACATCTCTACATAATTGTAATTCCACTTACTTCCCCTCAGAGCTGTAACTGTTTATGCTGCCATCAGTAGACTCTCGACTTGGCTGCCGAACCATACGATTCCTCATTTCTGCTGCCATTCCTGTTTCTGTGCTTCTTTGTATCGTGCTTTTCAGCTTCTTGTTGCCAGCCTCTGAAAACAGAAAAACAGAAGTGTGCATTATAATCTCTGTTTCATTGGGGTCTTGCACATTTTTTCTGTTTACATTTTTTCTGGTTCCATTTACAAACAAGGCTTTAAAAACTTTATAATGATCAAATATACCTTTTTTCACCTTTTGAGTCCTTATAGTTTGTAGTATCTGTCTGATGGATGTCTGTATCTTCAGAGAACTTTACATGTGGTACTGTTATGCCCCAAGTGAGAACCTGTACCCTACATTTGTTGGTGAGGATAGCAACAGTACCTTCTGAGGCCTCTACTGCAAACTCTGTGTTGGGTGAGATATTGGCCACCCCATTATTCCAGTAGGATGGCTGCAAAAATATCTTAAGATGCTTCTAACTTTCACAGAAAATTTTAAATAAACTAAAAATCCTGAAGCTCATTCAGGCATGTAACTTGTAAGCAGTAAGGCCAAAGAGTCTTTGCGTCACAGATACAAGATCCATTTTTCTAAATGAAAAAAATGGAAATTTTTCCTAACAAAATGGTTGTGAAGCAGATCTGTGAATTCTGCAGAAAAATCTGATCTTGGCACTTTCCATGCCAAGGAAAGTGATGACACCAAAATTTGGGGGGAGGTGAGCACGCTAGC